AAAGTAATAATAATAGTGAAGAACAAATCAGTGAACACACTCAAACATATTTATATCGTACATATCGGTTTTTTGAGAAGGAGAAATGGAAGCGAAATATCACCGAATGCTCTCCTAGGGTAGAAAGTTTAGTTTGAAGTGATCGGTTAGTTTTTGATCGATGGGTTAGACGTGTTTATGGGATGGTTATCCTTATATGATATGAACATATCTTTTATTTCTTGAAAACAAAACAAACAAAACTAGAAGGAAGATATTTTACGCTAATAGGCAACTACAACAGCAAGGGCATTGATGAAAAAAGAGAGAAGAAAGAAAAGAAAACAGGACGACGACGAAATCCGTAGCATGCTTGGATTTTGAGTATCGTTTGAGAGTGAGCGGACTGACTTTCAACTTGTGTGACAGTAGGCTATGAGCTTATTTGGCAGTCATAAATACAAAATAAATAAACCGCAACACGATATATTTCACCAATCACTGAACATCAATTCAACATGAAGTGGTCAATCGAATTTTGAATTTCCATTTTTGTGGCAATAAAGAGGGACGGGATGCATATTATCGTGGAAAATCACAGTTTTGGATGGCTTTATAACAATATAAGGGATGACCTCTGGCAGATTGTTCGGTACACCTACCTAAAAGCATCACAGTAAAAAATATCTGAATATTACTAGTTATGTAAAATTGTAGTACTTTACATGCAAGCATACAAGTTGCAGGAAATGTCTCATAACTTTTCACGATCTTGTATGATATATGTCGCTCTTTTAATGTGCGTCTTATTTAACTAAAAATTACACTACTTTTTCGAACTGTGTAGAAAACAATGATGATGACAATTGAGATGCACAAGGAGAAATCCAATCATTTGTTGGAAGTGAGGCTTGAAACAAGGAAAACATATTCTGGACCACGTGGTGACCAATTATTGTTTTACTTTGCTCAATAAATTAACAATGCAACAGAAGTGCACTCAGCGGTTTTCGAGTGCTGCAAGCTGTTAATATATCGGTTGTTTTTATCGAGTGTTATACGTTTTTAAATAAGCGTAATTTTACACTTGATTGGTTGTTTGAAAATAGCTGGTTAAAACCCACCATAGCTTGTTTATGGCACTGCTGTATACAGATGATCCTTGTCATTTCAGAGAGTCACAATTAGGGAAATCTATGATTCGTGAGCGCTCACTCTGAGTGAACGCTTATCAGTACTCATACTTTTCAACCTCTTCTTGTGACTTAAAAGTACAAACTTTCATTATAGGAGCTGAGGATTTCATAATTCCGAAAAATGTAGTGAAGCGAGTCGAAGCAACCCTGATCAAATGTAAATGTTCCATGGTGTACTGTTCAGCTGGAACCGTACCATCTTCATACAACTATTTCTATGGGACGGCCATTTAGCTCATTTTTGCATGAGGTTGCCTTATGTTTCAGAGCCATTTAAACCAACAATCCGTTCCCTCATCAGCTGTTGCAAGGACCTATCCAGAACAGTTCTAGATTATTGAGGGTGGTAAAACTTCCGGCTAAGAGGCCGAGACCAATCCCAAATCTCGGTCTAAGTGGTAACGAACGGAGATGATACTACTCTCACATAATGGTCTAGGACTTGTGCCTCCTACGAATCTGTAGGAGGCACAAGTCCACAAGGCACAACGCTCAAAGTGATGTGATGCGCAGTTGCCATTAAGTTTCAGAGCATCTTTAGAATTAATTTATTGAGTTTAATAACTGCCTGGAATCAGCACTGTTCTGACCGCACCACCAAGGGCGATAAGTCAAAGGGGCAAATTGAACGAGTTTCTTCTTAGAAATCTTTCCAAGAAATCCATTCCATTGCCATTCATGCATGGGCAAAGTCAGAGAGGGCCAAAGCAAGGTCAAATGCCCACCCCTAATATGTTGAAATGTTGTACTCCAAAATTGCAACATATTTTCTTAGCTGCAGAATTTGAAATCCGAAATCTCCATAGTTTTCGCCATTGAGCCGAAAGGGTTATTAGGCCGAAATTGAAAATGTGCTTAGAACTTATTTGAGAAATCTTGGGCATGGAATAATTGAGATCAATCTGTTTGTTTGTTAAATATTTGACAAATAAATCAAGAGCTTGAGACATGGAATATTATCAAAGCTTTGATCTTGGAAGAATTTTTAACATAATTTATTTGAAAATTGGGATAAATTCAATGGTAGTGTAAATTATGGCTTCAACACCCATTGACTGTTTTCGGTAACCATTATTTAAAAGTTAATTTCACTGTATTTTCTCACCAAAACACTTTGCTGAATGCATTTAAACGATTCCTTAGTCTTTCAACTTCAATATGATTACAATTTTACGACTGAGCAAACCTGCTATGCTAGGTTTTTCTTCAAATGAAATATACGCACCGTAACATAATACCCCGTACGGACTATGGCTTATATCATGTAATATAGGCTGTCTTGCAATGAGCACTCATCCATCTAGTTTTCACTGGAAATCCTATGTATGAGTGCTCATTGCAAGAAAGCCTATATTACATGATATAAGCCATAGTCTGTACGGGGTATAATACCCCGTTCACATTACAGCCTATATCACGTAATATAGGCTGTCTTGCAATGAGCACTCATACATAGGATTTCCAGTGAAAACTAGATATATGAGTGCTCATTGCAAGACAGCGTGATATACGCTGTAATGTGAACGGGGTATAAGGCTGATTTAGAGTTGCCGATAATGGAACAGCTGGTTAGCACGCAGTTCAAATGCAAAGGCTGCCGAAGAAAAAGAGGCTGGCCGACACTCACAAGAAGCTGTTCACACTCACCTGAGAAGTTTGGAGCGGTGTTGAAACGTAATCCGACAATTTTGTCAATTGAAATTGATATCAACATGTAAAGCAGAATGTAAACAAACAAACACGACGTATTCCGGAGCGATTTGAGATTTGGGCGTAATTGCTTTTGTAAACAAAGACGTCAATTGCCAATTTCTCTTGAAATAAAGCTCAATAAACAAACTAAACCACATGATAGAGGAATCATTCCTCTACCTCATAACGTTATTGCTAATTGCTAATAGAAGTGCGGACGTTGCGTAAATTCCCCTACCTATTCTGAAAAAAGTAGCATTATTTCTAAGAAATTCCCAGGAGAAATACAAGGCAAATATTTCGATGAGCATTGTTACAAGAACTTCAGGTGAATTCTGTGCAGAAATCCAATGTAGGTATGAATAGTAAATTATGGGGGTAATTTCGTGCGAATTGTCAGAAGTCCAGGAGGCAATTAAGGGGAAAAGGAACAAAAAACATTTTTCAATGCTACAAAAGCAGTTTTAATGTTCAAACTCGAATTTTTGTTCACTATGCTCCGCTTGGCAAATATAAAACAGTAACATATTTTCGTGAACAGAGTTTCAGCCTTGAATGTAAAAACTACTATTGCATATGTTTGTAAATGCTCTGCGTCCCTTGGACTTTAATGAGAATTTCAAAGGATAATGGGGTTATAAAGGAATTCTGATGAGGGCGTGATCAGAGATTTTATGCATCAGAAAAACTCGGCGGCGCCGACTGGGATTGAACCCAGGCCTTTTGGGGTGAGAGGCAATCACGCTTACCACTACACCACCGGCGCCGCTCAATGCGTAAAGTTCTCCAGGGTTTCTTCTTACAATCCCCACGGATTTCAACACAAGAAAATTCTGACAATTACTTCAAGGAATTTTAACATAAATTACAAGATAATAGTGACGCAAATTCCATGAAATTGTAAATCTAATGATGATTGCAAACAACAACCAAAACCAAAACCAGGGTTGCTACCACTCATTTTTTTTAAATTATGAATTCATTAGATGTTATAATGATAATCAGTACTTGTAAAATACAAGAAGAAGTTGTAAAATATGTGGTTGACACATAACACCTCTAAATATTGCTTTCAGAGCGACTCAATCCGCAATTTTACGATTCGGGCCACTCACTCTGAAAACAAAAATCATCACTTAACAAAAAATATTGTGCATTTAAGGTGATACGATACTATGCCTACAATCACCGGTAGAATGGCCGACTTGCACTGCCACTTAAAATTTTCTATTATCAGGGTGACCAGTGTATCGTATCGGAAGATCGGGAGAAATCCGTGAATTTCGATGACTCATCGGGAAAAAATATACTCCGTCCTCTATTAAAAAAAAAATAGAATTTCGACCTTCTACACATGTCAAGACCCTTGCACTGCACACTTAGAAAAAATCATGTACATGTAGGTGCTCTGAGACTCACATATACGAGCATCAATTTTGACATAAAATTGAGTCACAACAGACACAAAATTCAACTCAATCAAACGTACTTTTGTAACGGACTTTTCTGTCTCGGAGCACTTAATTTTACATGAAATATTTGTTTACGTCTGATCCTTTATGTCAAAGACGATTCAGTCACGTGTAAAGTTAGTTATTTTTAAGTATGTTGTCTAGATTTTCAGGATACAGTCACTTTGAACAAGAGGATTAGAGATAACGCCAAGGTATTTCAGAGAAGATGTCCCAGGAAGTTTTGGGATCAACTCTAAGAGAGTTGGGGCCTCATAGCCTAGTCAGTAAAGGCACGTTATTACCAAGCCGAAGGCGGCGGGTTCGTTTCCCGGTCCGGTCGAGGGAATCATTCGGGTTGGAAATTTTCTCGACTTCCCTGGGCATAGAGTATGATTGCGCTTGCCACACAATATTACAAATTCATGCATTGGTATTGGCATCGAATGCTCTCAATTCATAAGTGTGTAAGTGCATTTAGAACACTAAGTTGAGAGCACGCAATAAGCAACAAGCTTGATATGCGAAAAAGAAGTAAGACTAAGAGAGTTTTGATTAGAACTCCAAGTCAATTGTGTGAGTTCAGAGTATTTTTTAAGTAGCTCTGTGGAAATTCCAAGGCGATTTTGAAGAGGGTTACAAGATCCGTGAAAACACCAACGGAATCGAATTTCAAGTCTAAAATTCCAAACTAAATGTGCAAAGAATTTTATGGAAATTCCGAGGTTTATTTCAAGGGCTTCTAGGAATAAATTTAATCAGAATTGCTTGTGTATCTTCAGAAAAATCAAAGAACTCCTAGATAATTTTAAGTCAATACTGATGTGAATTGCATGGGAATTCTAAGGAGAATTGATGTGAATAAAAAAAATTGAAGAAAGCTTCAGCAAAACCCAAGAAAAAGATTAAAATCTTATTCAAGGACGACTTTCATTTATTTTATGGAGTGTTCTGCCGAGAATCACTGGACAATTATAAATAAATTTTCAAGGTTCTCCCAGAGAGCATTTCAAATTTATTTCAAGCTGACTGCCTACGTGGCGAAGAGAAGATCGGTCGGCTGAATAACAACAAAGCAACTGGTGTAGATCAACTACCAAGTGAGCTATTAAAATACGGTGGTGAAGCACTGGCTAGAGCGCTGCCCTGGGTAATTGCCAAGATTTGGGAGGAGGAGATATTACCGGAGGAGTGGATGGAAGGTGTCGGATGCCCAATCTACAAAAAGGGCGACAAGTTGGATTGCTGCATCTACCGCGCGATCACACTGCTGAGCGCCGCCTACAAGGTACTCTCCCAAATTCTATGCCGCTGCCTGTCACCATTTGCAAGAGAGTTCGTGGGGCCATTTCCAGGTGGGATTCATGGGTGCCCGCGCTACCACGGACCAAATTTTCGCGATTCGGCAGGTTCTGCAGAAATGCCGCGAATACAACGTGCCCACACATCATTTGTTCATCAATTTCAAATCCGCATATGACACAATCGATCGAGATCAGCTATGGCAGATTATGCACGAGTACGGATTTCCGGATAAACTGACGCGATTGGTCAAGGCGACGATGGATCGAGTGATGTGCGTTGTTCGAGTATCGGGACACTCTCGAGTCCCTTTGAATCTCGAAGGGGGTTACGATAAGGTGATGGACTTTCGTGTCTGCTATTCAACATCGCGTTATAAGGTATGATCAGAAGAGCTGGGATAGACACGAGTGGCACGAACTTCAGGAAGTCCATCCAGCTTCTTGGCTTAGCCGTTGACATCGACATCATGGCACGGAACTTTGAAACGATTGCGGAAACGTACATCAGACTGAAGCCTGAAGCTAGGCGGATTGGACTTGCCATCAATGCATCAAAGACAAAATACATGAAAGGAAGAGGTTCTAGGGAAGACAATGTTAGGCTCTCACCCCGAGTTCAGATTGACGGTGACGAAATCGAGGAGGTCAATGAGTTCGTGTATTTGGGCTCACTGGTAACCGCCGAAAATGCAACCAGCAGAGAAATTCGAAGACGCTGATTAGACCGGTGGTCCTCTACGGCCACGAGACCTGGACTATGCTCGTGGAGGAACAACGCGCCCTTGGTGTTTTCGAACGCAAGGTGTGTTGCGTACCATCTACGGTGGAGTGCAGATGGATGACGGAACGTGGAGGAGGCGAATGAACCACGAATTTCACCAGTGAAAATGGTTCTAGAACGCGACCCAACAGGAACAAGAAGAAGAGGCGCGCAGCGGGCAAGGTGGATCGACCAAGTAGAAGGCAACCTGCGGACCCTTCGCAGACTACGAAGCTGGCGAAGTGTGGCCATGGATCGAGTAGAGTGGAGACGACTTCTTTGGAAAGCAGAGGACAACAAAGCCTTAGCCTGATTGACGACGACGACGCTCACGTGGCGGTCCTTCGCAATGAATTTGTTCCTTTGTCATATTCCTTCGACAACGTTGGTTCACCTAAAATTTTCCCGAAATCGATTCCGGTAGTCACCGCAGGGATCGATCTAAATTAGTTCAATAATGTATCTGGCAGCACTGCAAAAGAACTGTCAACTGTAAACAAATCATGTCGATGAACCATCTTGTCCCGTGACACTTCTTGCCCTACCTTGCCCTAGTAATTTCGAATTTTAAAAGTTTCAAAATTTCAAAGTAGTTCTGAGAAGTCTTCCACGGAGATCGTGCAGGAAATTCCAGAAAAAGGAGATGAGAGTATCAACACGTTTTTTTTTAATTCCATCGCAATTTACTGTACAGTTTTGAGAAAAATTTCAGCAGAATTTTGAGGATGATTCCGAGAAAATTCTGACAACGATCCTGAGAAGAAGAAGTTCTCATCAGTCATCCAAGGGAAACTCTAATAAGAGTTGCAAGGGAACTTGTGGTAAAACATCCAAAAGTTTCCAGACAAGAATTAACAAGATTGCAAACTTTTCTTATTCGAAACATGGCTACTTCTTACTTGAATCAATTAAGAAAGGGGTGTCATTTTCACGGTTTGCCAAGGACGTAGTAAATCCTCACTATGACTCTGCTTGGAATGAACATTAATGAAAATTAGTGAAGTTAAATTATTAATGAGTTGTTTCCGAGCTAATTCAGACCAGTCGATTTGAAAAGTAACGCTTGTTTTTAAAATTTCCGGGCACAGACAAGTCTTCAAGATTCAGGGGCTTTCGAATTTTCCAGATCTCCTGCTTATTTTCAATGAGATCTCATGTTTAGAAAACTAAACAAGATCCAGAACAAATCTTCCAGATTCTGGAATTGGTGCGATACGCCTGGCGTTGAAAAAACATCCCAGACTCGAAGAAATGTTCAAGATCGTAAGCCATGAAAAGTTTACATGACTCTGAGAAAAATAGGAGACTCTTCAAACTTTGACTTTGGGTGATTTTTTTTTTTGAGTATCGGAATTTGGAAAAGGATTTAGATCTCGTACTTAAAAATTGTGAGTCTTCTGAAATTATTTTAAATTCTCGTGAATTAGAGTAATTGTCGGTACTAGACTAGAATAAATATAAAATTACAATGTTGAAAAACTAGTTACCCACTAGATCTAATGACGTTCTGCCTAATGACAACACGACAAAAAATGTGTTGTCTCCTCCGCCCTTGATACGCCTTTCATAACGCTTCATCACGCTGCAGTCCATGCAGGCCCTTTGATGGTGGGGGTGGCCGTGTATTGCTGCTAGCTGACACGAGCTGTGCCGAACGTGCTATTCGCCACTGCGGCTGTCTGCTTAAGCCTGGTACGCAGCTGAAAAGAAACGGAAAAGTAATTTTTTAGGAATATTCCCAAAAGTAAATTTGACAGCTATAGGCAGGTGTCTTTTGCTAAATTTTGAGATCATAGGGGGCTGTCGTCTAATTTTAAAATCAACAATTATCAGTTTTTATGTTGTTAAAATGCATCCAAAACATCATTTTTACAGCAAACTTTAAAATTACCTAACGGAATAATTGATCAGACCATTATTCCGCAAGGAAAGTGAATTTACATTCAGAATGCGATCACGATACTAATGTAATCGGTCTTTTCTTTACCGATTTCTTTTGAACTGCGTACTGGGTCAAGAAATGCTAAGGAAAAGTAATTTCTTAAGCAGTCCGTGACCTATCCCGTAGCACGTAAAAATGTCATTACTTTTCAGCTACGTACCAGGCTTTACGTGGTGGTCATTTGCAATGGCTATTGTTCCTTTGTCGTATTCCTTCGAAACCGATTCCGGTAGTCATCACAGTGATCCACCTAGGCGATACAGTTTTATGTATCTGCTAAATGCAGTCCTGCTTGTCGAATGACTGTGGAGGCGAAACTGACTCGAGTGGCGTAGCCTCCGCAGTCAGAACGTTTAGTTTTTAAAATTTACCCAAGGCCATACGATGAAGATGATGATAGTCTTCTAATGCTGATGACCGTCGAAACGGCATTGCATTTGCACAGCAAATCAGAATTATTTCTTCCCAGCCACTTCTCGCAACTTGAAACCTTTAATAACCCTCGGGACAACCGACAGTTACAAACATACCGTCTACACTGAGAAAAAATTGAACTTTTATATTCATAAGTCTTATTTAACGTTATCAGAAAATCTAATGATAATTGCCGTTGTAAATTCGGAAGTGCTGCCGGTTATATGAGAGAATAATAAGAAGAACGTTCTGTACTTTTTTTTTATCTTTTAAAACACGTCTCCTAACACTCTCAAATGATACTCAACTGAACATTCTTAAGATTTACTATTCTGTTTGGTACAGAAATCCACTGAGACCAGTAATTGATCTTTCAATTGCATAATCAAATGCAGAATTTTCTTACAAACAGGCTGGTTGCTTTGGTAAACAATGCCCCATCTGATAGAGGAATATTCTGGTATCAATCAATAATGTTGATAAGCGCGGGCGAGTTAAGAAAATCAAACTTGAAGTCGTTGTTAAAAAAAAGAAGTCAGGCCACGTTAGTAAAAGAAATCTGCAGGATTATAATTTGATTACCTAACCATACAAACTGTCTGAAACTGAATGCTGTTAAGCAAAGTGAAATAATAAATTAACGGAAGGGAACCTACAAATGCAACTCGTAAAGTGCCAAAGTCTGTTGTTGGAAATCCTCAACACAGAACACACCGTAAGAGAATGTACTTAGTTGCAGAATCAACCATCAGAAGAAGAAAAAAAAACAGAAATCTAAAAAGCCAGAAATCTAGGTAAAGAGTAGTGAGTAGCATCACAAATAAGTATCCGATTATTTTCCCCCCTAGTTGCACCGTGCACGCGTCATCATCTAGTGAGAGCAATTTACGCAAGCCAAGTAGTATCAAAAGCGCGTTGGAAATAAGCTGAAACAGAAGCAAAGGAATGTTTTTCGTTCAACAGTGCAGTGCAAGCAAAAATAAGGAAACATACAAATAGATTAGCGTGTTCTGCCAATGAGCCAGGTGTTCGTTTCAGTAGAAAAACAACAAAAGAAGAAAAAAAGAAAAGGTAAATAGCGCGAGGTGAAATTCGAGGAAAGCGTTGAGATCCAAAAGGAAGCGTTACATACATACATATATTTTGTATAAACTTATTTAGGGATTCTAAAAGCATTCGAACGCATTCGAATGAGAATTAAATGATAGAGAATGTCTTTTGTGAAAGCTTATTAGCGCAGTAAAAAAAAACTAAAAAAAAAAATGACAAAATAAACAGGGTGACACAGTGAAAATTTAGCTCTATTGAAGAAAAACTACACAAGGAAAACGAGTAAACAGTGAAGTAGATGCCCGAAGCAAGAAGTGAAGATTGTCTAGTAACTTAGTGAAAAGCTCAAGTAGATCGAATTTATTTAACCCTAAAGACTATCACGTTTTTACTCTTAATCATATCCTATAGAAACCTATCCATACACACACACCTACTACACACAAACACACGCGCGTAATAAGGAAGGATGTGACAAGTAGTTGTTGTCATAGTACTACTATATCACACAATCTTTAGAGTAAACAAAACAACAATACATATTGCAAAACAGGTTGGCTATATAGCGACGACTTTTCTACACACACAATATCATAACCCCCCCTAACATATCAGACTAATCGATGTGAATCCCTTTTTCCCGAATGAAGAAAAAAATTGATCCACTTTTCAAAAAGCAACCCTCAATGATACTTTTGCTTTTCTTAAAAATGAAGAAACATCACGACGAAACATAACCCGTCATTGTCTCGTCGTTGTGGTCGTCATCATCGTCGTACTAGCGGCATGAGGAAGAAAAAAAAAGTGACAGACGAAAACAAAAACAAAACTATCAACAAAAGTCTTCTTACCTGACGAAACTGCTAGAGGGAGACAAAACAGTTCAATTTGGTTTCGAAGGAACAAATAATAGATCGTAAATAAATAAAGAATAAAAAGAGAAAAACATGTTGTACAAAGTAAGCAAGTAGAAGAAAATACGTTAAAAACAAAAAGAAAAAAAAACAGAAAAAACAAACAAAAGCTAGCGAAAATTCCGGTGTTGTAACGCAAGTAGAGTAATGCAATTGGAACAAATGATGCAAACACCCAAACATGCATGCATGACAGTACGTGATTTCATGACACAGATTTCAGTTTTTGAAACAAAGTTGCTGAGGAGATGATGTGTGTAGAAAGCAAAAGCCAAATGAGAGGTAAAAATGCGTTTTAAAAGCAGTGCAGCAGATACTGGAACAATGTAGCATTCGCCCGATCATGGTAGAGTTAAATTTAATTAAATTGCCACACACCCAGTCACTGGCTTCGTCGGCTTGGTGTGCCATTATTGTCGGGTTTTTATTTTTGTCGAGGACCATGGAAATTCAATTGCCGGTAGAAATGTGCAGCGGAATTTGTCTCCCACATCAACGACATCAACGACGATTGGTAGGAAAAGTGACACACGATGGCAGTCAGAGCATGTTTTATCAATTAGTGTGAAATATGTGCAGTTAATGAAATTATGCACATGATAATGTAGAGAGCGAGAGAGAGAGAGAGAGTGCGGGAGAATCTATTTGCGAACATATTTGCCACGACCGGCTGGGGGAACTGGGCGATGGTGGGCAGGGTGTTGTAATTGTTTGTCGCCATTCGATAGGCAGCCAGCTGTCGCTGATTGTTTGTTGTTTGCATAGTTTTCTGTTTAGCAAATAAATTGGATTGACTATCAGAAATCAATTTTTGCACTTTGAGTGACCTTGTGCGCTGCTGGAGTTGGTTAAGTGCTAGTGGGAGTTGTTTTCAAAATGATTTTGTAATTTCGAATCACAAATGCGTATTTCCGTCATTTAAATGCGATTTGCTTATTGGAATATTTTAAAATGATTTCCTGAATGATCAGTGACTAGGCTACACGCGAACCAAGAAAAAAAAAATCATAGAACGTTGGCATGTTATCTTACCATCTTTGCATGACAAATTAAATAGCGTACAAACAAAGCGATTTACAATACTTCGCTTAATAATAGGTTTTATTTTAACTCAATATGGTGGAAAGCAACATATTTATAAAATTATATAATCCATTGAAGTTTTTCAAAAGCCATGATTAAAACGGGTAATTATTTTTTCAGTCCATTGTCAGCACTGTTCGTGTGAACATTCGAAATGAGTGACAAACTCATTTAAAAATTTAATTTAACGGTGTTCTCTGCATTTTCAGAAAAAGTCTTCTTCTGTTTCTACTGTTTCTTCTTTGCATTTCAAGATTATTGCTTATCGCATATTAGCTTATTGCGTACTCTCAACTTAGTGTTCTAGGTGCACTTCCACAGTTATTAATTATGAGCTTTCGATAGAGTCGCCGTGTGTGTAGTGGTAAGTGTGATTGCCTCTCACCCCAAAAGGCCAGAGTTCAATCCCAGTCGGCGCCGCCGGGATTCTCTGAGGCATAAAATCTCTGATCACGCAGGGATGAAAAGCCGTTGGTCTCCGGTCTATGAGTTGATGGGTCGATAGCTAGGGCCCAGGTGTGGGAGCTGCCTCCCTTGCCTGGCGTCGGAAGCATTGATACTCAGTACGGAAAACAAATTAAGAAAAAAAAGAGCTTTCGATGCCTGTACCATTTTTGTTTTAGAATAAATGTGTGGCAAGTACTTACAATCATACTCTATACCCAGGGAAGTCGAAAAATTTTCCAACTCGAAAAATTCTTAAACTTGACCGGGAATCTAACCCAGTTATTTCCTGCATGGTCTTGCTTTGTAGCTGCGCCTCTACTGACTGAGCTAATCGAGGCCCCAAAACATTAAAACTGTCCATAATTTAAAAAAAATATTGACTTTACATTTAATGTTTTATGCCTGAAATTTGAACCAAATGATTGATTGTTTCAGGTGGCCAAATTCGGTAAAAAAAAGCAAAAATTTGAGAAGATAAAAATTTAAATGCATAGATTTGGACAATAACTTAGCTGTGATGTGTTTTGGAATCCAACTATCCTTCAATGTTCCAGAAAAGAGTTCCAATTGAAATCAAATAAATAAATGTTCAATATAGACACAACAATACGACGCTCTAAACATAAACAATGCGGCTTACTTCGATCGATTTTTATTCAAAACTACGGGCCCAAATGTGGGAAGATGCGGAAAGGCTGCGTCATGCTCGATAGTTGGGACCTGTTCAAATATTACGCAACGCAAAACTTTTGTTTTTACGTATGTATGCGGCGATACGTAATATTTAATGGGCACTTGTCACAAATAACATCAACATGGGTAACTGGAGTCGATTTGATTTAAATTAGTTTTCTATCTAACAGGTAGCTTTACTTCTTCTGCGATAGAGATTTTTAACGTTTAATCCTTTATAAGGCACTGGCCACCAACAATCAATATTTTTTCTGCTCACTCGTAATTTGTTTTCAATTTATGTTTTAACTGGTGGAAACTTCTAACATTTGTCAATAATCCTTTTTTTTAGCCACATCAAATGAAATTTTTTAATTTGACAGCAATATTAATGTCAACAAACCTCCAATTTTGATCCATACAAAATTAAACTGTTGTAACTTTATTCACATTTTATTAAAATGTAAGCCAAATAATCACAAATGAGCATAATTTAAGCTCATTTGCCTCCTTGGTTTTTTTTAATGTGTCAGTTTGAAAAAAAAGGTTCTCAAATAAGAAGAGATTTACTAAAATTGCTCATGGCGCAGACCCTATCGATCAAGCCCAAAATATATTGAATATTTGTGGGGGAGGAAACTATTTGTGACAACCAGCTGGTGCCATGAAGTACACTGAACGATGCGTTTTAAAACCCGTGCAGACCATCATTACCGAGCGTGGAAAGCTGGATTGAACAGAATTGCATTACGCATTTATACTACCAAAAAAAAAAACAATTGAGCAGTAATATTTTCACACAGGCAAAAATAAAAATTAAAAAAAAGAATCGGCTTATTTGAAAGCAGTAGCAGCATAAGAACAGTTCAATCACTTCAAATATTGTCTTGTCATAATCAAGTCAACTTATATTGGGTTCCTCGTCATTGCGGGATTGACGGAAATAAAAGAGCCGATGCACTAGCAATACTCGGATCTTCTCATAAATTCATAGGACCAGAGTCCTTTTGTGGCTTATCGGCTGCATCTCTTAGAATGGAGCTAAAAGCGAAGGAATCATCAAAAGTGGAGGAAAACTGGAAGAACACTTCCATTGCCATTATAACAGGTCATTGTCCGAGCCGTTATCACTTGAAGCTGATTGGAAAACTTCAAGATGATGTATGTCGCTTCTGTGGCATAGAAAAGGAAGACTCGGAACATTTGCCATGCCACTGTCCGGCAATTTTTAATAAAAGGCGTAAGTTCTTCGACAAGGGGCTGATAGAACCTTATGACATTTGGAGAACAACTCCCAGTACGGCAGTGCACTTTATTCGAAGTGTAATGCCTTGCTGTGATAATGCTATTAGTCAAACAATGGCCATCACTCCTAATAATAGTGATACGGCGTCTTGATACAGTTCAAAAAATATGTGGAAGACCAATTTCAATAATTTTATCGCCAATCAATCAGCAATATTTCTATGCATCTGATAAATTTAAGATATTATCATTTTTTTTAAATTGCACGAATGAGCAACTGTTGCACCGACTGCATGCGAAAAGCGATTTCCCTACACAGATTTCAAAGTTGAATTCCATGCGGTCTCACAACGAAAGGCTGCCTATAAGCAGCGAGCTGCATCCCACATGAGCATCCATAGAAAGAGGAAGAAGCCGCACCGCTATTGATCGGAATCAGTAGCTCCTCGCAAGTCGCTGTGGGTCATCTATGTCAAGTAAATCATACTAAAGAGTATAAACAGAGAGAATCCCGCTCAAATTCATATTCCTACGCGGATAGAAATCTCCTTATACCTTTTGCCAAATTTATATTGCTGATTATTCATAAAATGTATAAGTCAACTAATAAGCAGACGCCTTGCAAAAAGTAAATGAAGATCATGTGTCAAATGAAATGTATAAGCGGTCACACATACCCTTTATGCATTCTTATATGTATAAGGCTGATGTTTTGGCAAAAATGCATAAGTGAAACACATGAATAAAATAATTGATTTTCGTTTCGTGTACAGAAAACACAAGCTCCTGCTGCAGTTAACAAATAAGATGTATTATATAAGACCACGTAGTCCTACGTCACCATTGCGTACAACTCCATACGGCTGTCCCTTCTAATTTTTTTCACATTCATGTATCAGCGTGAGTAAACCTTGAGCGATCAAGTGTCCTCTAACTGAGTTTTCATGTCGAATTGAACTAAAAATTCAATTCAATGTTTATAATCGATTCTACTTATTCACAGTTTTGAGCTGAGAAAAGTGTAAACGTTTTGCTTGAAAATTCAAAAAGTTATTAAGAATTTTCATGCAGGTTAAAAAAAATATATACGAGTGATAACATAGAACCGCTCTCCAAAAGTGTGTCCAGTCTCCCAAACTGGTTAAAATAATGAACTCGAGCTCTATTTAAATGTTATGATCAGTGCGAAAATATTCCTGTGTACTTATTTTTATCGCAGCACAGCAAAAAATAAATTTCAATATTACTTCCAAGAGGATGCACTTCAATCATTTGGAAAATCTCATGTAATTTTTATGGCCACAAAAATAAACAAATGCAGTAAACAGCGTAATGTCAGTTCATGCACTGCATAAATGATATTTTTTTCCTTTTTGGCAAGTAAAATTACACCATATTTTCGACACGACTGAAGTGCATCCACTTTGATGTGATATTAAAATTAGTTTTGTGCTGTGAGGAGTCTAATTAGGTGCGAAATCTACAATATTTATGATGTGTTACAGTTACTTCCAAAATTGAGCGTACACGCGAGGGGCACGACTCTATCTGCAGGAAAGATTGTGATTTGATGTGGTTAGCTGCGTGCAAGCTGAGTAGATAGACGATTTCTTCAAAACGATGATGCACGGTGCAAGTAGATGCGAGAAATGAAACAAGATTTTTCGTATCTTGATTTGCTGGTGTGAGATTTTTCGAGCATCTAGAATTGAGATTTAGATGTGACACCTTCCTCGTGTACACGTTAGTTTTTTTTCGATAAAAATTTAAAATATTTAAGTTCAACAAAATTTTTATATGTAGGGATTATTTGATCTTTATGATAAGTGAACGAAAAGAACAAATGGTGATCCTTAAAATTTACCTAAAATCAAAATCATAAAATAAAAATTGAGCGTACAGCAATTTAGTTCTTACTAGAAGTCATATAATCTTCATGAATGATCAATCACGTACTGGACATAGTACTTGGTGCGTTCTTCTTTGCCAACAATCACTGATCCACTCTTTCGCTTAGCTGGTGAACCGAATTTTTAGCGATGAAAGCGCCTCTGTGGCCAAAAAAGCTACCAATTTATTTGTTTATCTTCACGAGAGGTAAATCAAATGTTTAAATATATGTATTTCAGCATATTATTTCATTTGATAGCAACAGTGACACGTCAGACAGTAATTTACAAAATGAAATTAATGTTCAATAATTTGACTTTAATTTTAGTAATGAATTGGATGATTAAGGGGAAGTTTACCGCTCAAAAAAAATCTGGAACATTTTTAATTTTCTAAAAATATTGGAAATAATATCAAAAATCCAAGAAAATCAGTTTCTTCATAAGATTCCTGAAAAAAAATTGGACTCTCAGCAAAACCGAAAAGCCGACGTTTTGTGGTTTTTTTAAGTCCAACTTTATGCCATGAAGATTTACAAAAAAAATTAATCTCTTAGATTTTTGATATTTTTTTCAATTTTTTTTTTGAAAAATCGAAACGTAATATTTTTTTCGGAACGGTGAACTTTCCTTTAATGCTGGGCTTTTTTAACGCTAGATGGTGCGTGAAATAATATTTTTCGGGTCACCATTGCAATGTATCGGAAATGTATGAATGGAGCATATTGTAAATATGATATATTTGATTATGTTCAACTATAAGCCATACCTGAAATGCTCGGGCTCCGACTTCCCGCATGGATTTTCCTTTGCAGTACAAACTGACGATTAGTTTTCGGGTGGCAAGATCGGTTTACTTCTTTTTGCCTTCCATTTTGCTTCAAGTCAGTCAAAACTAGAACTTTGGTAATTTCAAAACAAACTGAACCACAGCAGAGTACTATTTGCTAGCGAACTGTCAAAATTAACAGTGGACCAATAAAAAACCGGAAGGCTGTTGAAAATTAACGCTTAATTTTGAGTCGCAGAAACATTTATTATTTTATGATTTAAATTTTAATACAAACTTTATCATAGCCATTTGTTCTTGCCTTATACTAGAGTCGGTGTATTAGTTTATTAGTTTCCATTTGATTGCCGTAGCTAGCAGAACCAAAAAAGAAAATCATGTCACCAAAAACCAAGCTCAAGACGGATCTCATCACCGGTATTGCGAAGAAGAATTTGCCCAGAAACCGTTTGCCGTCGGAGTTGGCCGTCATCAGGTACTTTCGATTTAAGCATGAAACTCAACAACTTTCAATCGGAAAAAAGCATTCAAGTTGTGGCTACCGAAGCTGCTTGCATATCAATGGTATACTACTTGAGAAGCTTTTCGGAAACTCAACCGGAACTTTGTTTGTCATCTGCTGGCTCCAGAATTCTGCACGGACAGTATCATTTCGTAGCTTTTCATCGATGTGGTTCACGCTTATGTTGAAGAAGCAACTCAACCGCATCCTACACATCTTCAAAGCTGGCAATAGCTCTGGTTTTTCTTCTTGAAGGCCTTACTTTGGCATTGTCATGTCACAACGAGCTTGTTCCGCTTGAGCTGGTGCGAAAGTCCGGCTTGATTCCAAATCTCCACAGCTTCGGTAGCCACAACTTGGATGCTTTATCCAATTGAAAGTTGTTGGGTTTCATGCTTGAATCGAAAGTACCTGATGATGTCCAACTCCGACGACAAACGGTTTCTGGGCAAATTCTTCCTCACAATGCCGGTGATGAGATCCGACTTGAGTTTGGTTTTTGGTGACATGATTTTCTTTTTTGGTTCTGCATGATCCCTCTCCGCCCATATATCCTCCTATTGAATTCTAAAAACTTCGAAACAAATGTTATCAAGTGATTTGCAACAAAGTAGGTGATTTGTATTTATCGATTTCAATGATAGTTTGATTTGCTAGTGGACATACTGCAAGCATACTGAAATTCTGAACTTTTCTTCCCACAGTAAATCACAAACATCTTTTTAACGATTAAAAATGAGGTTAAAGTGTTTTCGGCAAAGTTTTTGCTTATAAAATTTCCCATATATCTACTGCATTTGATTGATAATAGCGCTATGTTTGATACCCACTTTTGATGATTGAATGCAGCAATGTACAACAAAAAACATCATTTTAGAGAATTTGAAAAATTTTAACTAACAAATTGGACACAGAACATGCCGTAGCAATTTTTTCTCTTATAGTTTTGACCCTTGGGAATCTGCGAAAAATATAAAAGGGTGAGATTTCACTGAAATTTAAAGAACTAAAAATATTTATTCGATAATAGCTATGAGAAATGGACTTTTTTCAAAAATCTCGTCGGGGCGTCCTCTAAACAACATTTCCTAAAGTTGCCGCCATACAAAAGTTTGTTGGTAACACCCTTAGCTATCATAACGCCGTTTTCTTCGATTCGCTCTGTGGAAGCTGCCTTGGAGAGACCCATTTCATCTGCCCAGCTATGAAAGTCGTTGCCAGCTGATTGATCTGGAGCCTCTCCGAACTAGAAGAGACACCTCTAGGGCCCTGTTCATTGCGGACTCTTTACAAGGTAGAATTGATTGCAGTGCAATCTTGGGGCAAGTCAACATTAACGTCCAACCCCGTACG